TGTATAGAAAAGCTCATGTCTTTTGCAACCCTTGCTTTCCAGAGTTTGTCAGTATTACAAATGTAGTAAACTTTATTATATGTATTTTTAGTTTCTAAGATTTATTTTTGGAGATAATTATATATGAGGTTATTTATAATTTTTGTAGTTATATCTTAGAAGTACTTATTATTTCAGAAATACTGATTCAAAATTAGATCAGAAATGGCTGTTGTAGAACAACTGAAATGCTGCTAAAACTTTGTTGTAATTTTATGCTGGGAAACTATTTAAATGCCTGAACTTGGTATAAGACTAAACAATTATACTGCACAGTTGGAGCATTACTGAAAAATGCTGAAGCTAAGCATTATGCTCAGCCAGAATGTGTCTTTGAGAATCTTGTTGATACTTTATTGCTGGCTTAATATTGTCATTTCTGGTGTTTAATGTTTGTGATAAATGACATATTATTTTGTCATAGTAAATCTGGGGTGACACTGTTTAATTATTTTCTTATACTTCATCTTTATCAGTGAATAGTTTTTAACGATCTCATGATAGCTAAACATTGTTTTATTATATTCAATATCAATTGTTTTTTACTGTTTTAGACTTACATTGTGCTGCTACAGCAGGATCGGATGTAAATGGCGAGGACCATATCATGAACTTCAAAACCATGAAGAACTTTGTCTCCATCCCCATAAGACAGGCAAGGAGGTCATGGAAGCCCTTGCTGTAATAGATGAAAAAAACTTGCAAGAGAAGGAGCTGTACAACTGTGTGTTTGAGTTACTTTCATATGAAAAAATTGCTTTCAATGGTGAGGCATTAACATATGTTTATTTCTGTTCAAAAAACTCTGTTAATAAAGACCTACATGTGAATTTAATAATTTATTTTCTGCTACCTTTGAAAATGTATTACTTTATAATAAATTTTGATTCTGTCATTTTAACCTACACAAATTTGAAAGAATACACAGATAAAGTGGGATTATTTCAGTTAAAATTTACAACAAAATTTGACAGGTGTTGATATAGGTGCACTATTTGTAACTTTTAAATAAAAACAATGAGAATAATCTCTAATTAATTCAATATCTGTAAATTGTAAAATTGCAATTTCTCTGCAAAAACTCTGACTTCAATTCCTTCTCTAAACTGTTTGTATTAATTTCTTGCTCAAAGATCTTTTTTAACCCTTTGATTACCAATATAGGTGTATTTTGTAACCCCAGCTCTTGCATTAGATAACTTATTTTTACTAGCTTGGGTACCTTTTCGTCCAATACATTATCATAATTAATACAAACTTAGTCATTAGGTTATATTTTCCACATGAATGATGGATGCTTTATTAAAACAATATAGAAAGGCAAACATAAATATATACATCTGTTTGGTAAATGTATCATGGGAATAGGAGGGGTTAAAGAATAATTTTATTTCATAAGAAAATGCTTTGTTAGTTTGAATTGCTTGGAGAATATGGACTAAAAATGTTAAATTTATGAATAATACTTAGGTAATAAGAAATTTGATGTAGCATTTTATCTTCAGAAACAGAGCTTTTCCTGTTTTTATTGGTTGTATGGTTGTGAGTTTTGTCTTTGAATTGCTCTCTCAACTCTAGTCCCTGAACTCAAAGTTGACAATGAATATTTTTATAATAAACAAAATATAAGGCTGAATTTTTAAAATATACGCTGAGCTTATCCACTTGTTCAAACTGTTGAAAAAAAAGAAGTTCTACCATAATTCTTATTCAAGAACATTTTTTTGATTGATTGATTGATTGATAAGTAGATAAATATCCTTTATTTTTTAAATAATATTTTCTTGTCACAAAGTAACCATTAATCTAACTTATCAGTGATCCATCAAAGATGCCACCATATTCTAAGAATCTTATACCCAGACTTTAACATGTGGAATAAATTGATGCTTTGGTGTTTGGTGGTATTTTAGATGCTTTTAAATCATTGTTGGATAGTTTATGAACATGATCAATCCTTAAAATATTATGCTCTCATTAACATATATTTAATTCCAATACAGTACTCACAAGATTAGCTATTCTCGTTCAGTACTGCCTTCTATATGCAAACTTTTTCTTTATTCATGTCACAAGCCTTTTGCTCCCTCCCTGTTGAAATTACTATATTCCAACATGTCTTTCATACAAATCGTCATGCGTCATCTCTTAACATGATATGCTCACATGATGCATATGACTCCCTCTACACTCCTCTACTGAACCTTCACTTCTTATTTGGCAGTGTTTGGGTTAAGACATACTCTTTTGTGTGCCTAGTGTTTCCAGTGTAACAAACAACAATTTTTTTTTGTATGGAGTGGTTCCTTTTGACTTTATTTGATACCAATTCCTTCTTGTCCCTCTATTTCTGCACTCGACTTTTGTGAACCATTTCTTGTGCTATGAATTCTGAAGTTCGCGTTACCACTTTGGGGGGGGGGTCACACCAATAATCATTGTTTTTTCTCAGGCCTCAGGTGTGGGTGACCTGACAGTGGATCTTTCTGCTTTTATATGTCGGGAGATTGAGAGCTACATGGGTCATTTGTTATCCCCTGACATCATCCAGGCTACTCTTGAGACAGCTAATCTTGTTCAGAATGACAAGGACTTTGACCGTCTTTTCCCACCTCCTGGATTTGCTGTTCCTTTCCAATTACAGTCTGAAGAATCATCTAGGCCTAATCCAGTCTTTACAGATTTTGTCTCAGGTTTCTGATGTTTTATCACTTTTCCCTATCTCTTATTTCCCTCGTCCTTCCTTGTTATATGAACAAGTTTCCCAACCATTTTTGGTTTTTCCTCCTTCCCCTGATATTCAGGTACATGTGGATTAATTTCTCTTGCAATTAAATGAGGGGATCAGCATGCTGCACCCCCAAGGACTTTTGATCAGTTCACCTTTCTTACCATCGTGCAGACTATCCATTTTTAGATCGGCAGTTGTTAGGTTCATTATTACCTACTTGGGGGGTAGCTCCTGAATGTAATGTTAGTCTTTCTCATGCCCAATATTCTCGCCTACATCTTACCCTAACCACCCTCTTATGGTATCTTTCTTCCATAAATCTCCTATCAGAGGCTCTCCACAGAAATCCTGAGGGGGTTTTCTGCAGATACCTTTACACTTCTCTCTTCCACTTTAGCCTGCATTTCTTATTTGGTTCTGTTATTACATATGTGGTTTCTTTGTTGTTGGGACCTTATAGGTTGTGGATGCAGTTTTGGCTCGGGTCAATTTACCCTCAACCTGTCTTGGGGATTTACATCTTGCACTTTTTCTGAGATGTTATGTCTTTGATACTGTCCCAGAAACTGTTGAACCTTGTTTGTTGCTCGTTTGTCTCGGTCAGAGCCTCATATGTCACCTATTCTTGTTTCCCATCCTTTATCCTTCTAACCCTTACCCGTTCCTTCTCATTGGGGTACTTCTTCTCATTGATTTCCTCAACGACACAACCCCCATCACCAACAGTACCGGTGACTACCCTGTGGGTTCAGGTCTGGTGGGAGTTTGACTGTTATAGTTTCTTCCTTGCTGGCATCCCTTTGAAGATGATCAATGGGTAATACAGGTTCTATCAAAAGGATTAGTTATCCAGTTTCTTTCTTCACCTCCCGTTTAACCTTGCCCCATTTCCTTCCTTCCTCCTCGAGATCCCGTGACCTGTCAGAGGCAGTCTGAGAATTCCTTTTTGCAGCAGGTGATAGAACTGGTACACCATCCTTTCTGGGGTTTTTATTCCTGTCTTTTAATTGTTCTTAACAAAACCAGGGATTGGTGATTTGTCACTGATATATCTTGCCTCAACCGCTTCATGGAGTTCACCATGGAGTCTTTTCTCACCCTGATAATGGTTGTGGATAATGAAAATGGATGTCTCCAATCCTTACCTCCACATTCCAATAGCACATTGGTCTCAACTTTACCTTTGGTTTGTCCATCTTGGGGTGATTTACCAATTTTGGGCACTCACGTTTGGACTTTCCTCAGCTCCCTATGTGTTTTGTCGCATAGTCTGAGCTTTTGCACGTCATCTCCATGCTCTGGGGATGGGATTTCATTATAACATGGAGGACTGGCTCTTGTGGCTCATTCCAAACAGGAATTGGTCACTCTTACTCACCAACTCCTTTCTAGGGTGGCTTGGGTGGACTGGTTGATAAAATTGGAGAAGCCCTTCCTTTGACCCACTAAATAATTAGTCCATTTGGAGGTCTATTTCGATATGTCCTTCTCCTTCATGTCTTCATTCAATGGAAATTTTAGTTCACCATGCTCTCTCAGCTCAGTCACTTACTGCTCATGAGGTTCTATCACTTTGGGGGATGTGGTCCTCCATTACTGCACTGGTTCCTCTCATTTGTGTCCTTCAGTGTGTGCTTCATAAACGATGGAACCTCGCTTTGGATCCTCTTTCCAACCTATTTCCCTTCCTACTTCCCTGCGAGACAATCTGCATTGATGGCTGGACAAAGCACATATGTCAGTGGGTGTGGCGCTTCCTCCCCCATATCCAGATCTACATCTTTTCATGGATACATCCCTTTATGGATGGGGGGGGCGATGGGTCAATACCAGGACATTTTGGGCTTTTGGTGTGTGGATGAAGCCATCTCGCATATCAACCTTTCAAACTTCCACTAGTATGTCGGGCATTATATCACTTCCTTCTTCTTGCCCATCATTGTTTGGTGATGGTTTATTCAAACAATTCTATGGTGGTGGTCCATATCAACCACCATGGGACACCCAGTCCAGAGATCTATGTTTTTGGACCAAATATATCCAACAGAGTGAGCAATCCAATTGTTTTCAGGGATCTTTGCCATCAGTGAGGTTTTCCCCAATTGGAATCATTTACTACAGGCCACAATACCAAGCTGCCCCATTTTTGGTCACCTGTACTGCATCCACAGGCTTTGGTGGTTGATGCATTCAGCCAGGATTGGTCACACAAATATCTTGTGTACCCTCACATCCAATTACTTCATCGAGTGATATCTCTTGTTCACTCCACTCCTTGTCAGGTCCTCCTGATTACACCCTATTGGCCAGCTCAATCTTGGTTTCCAAGGCTACGATGTCTGCTCTTATCACCACTTGTCTCTCTTCCAATTTTTCCCTCCCTTCTTTGTCAACCTTGATCCCGCATTCTACATCCCAATCTCCACATCCTATTCATGCCTGGCTTTTGTCTGGTCCTTGGCAAGATAATTTGGTTTCCACATCGAGTTGCCTCCTTGTTAGCTTGTTCCATATAGCCATCTTCCATGAAAGTATACCGATGCAAATGGAAAGTGTTCTGTTGTTGGTCTTCAAACAGGGGTTTCCTGCTTAGAAGACTTCTGTGGTTCGTGTGGCAGAATTTCTCACCTGGTTCTTCAACTGGGAGTATTTTGTCTCCTCAGCTTCTGGATATTGGGCGACTCTATCCAATACCTTTAGTTTTCCCGATACCATAAGGTATTTATCTCCCCTGTTCTTAACATGCTCAGGAGTTCCTTCCGGATAAGTCAACCTCCCAGATATACAACTGTTTTGGATTGGGACATTAATGTGGTTTTCCATGCCCTTACTTTACCTCCATTTGAACCACTTTCCTCGTGTTCCTTGTTTTATCTGTCCCTTAAAAAATATCTCCTCTTTCCCTCGACCTGTGGATGTCAGAAATCAGATTTGTATGGCATTGACATTTCATGTACCATTTATCACCCTACCTATCTTCTCCTTTCTCCCTAAGACCTCAGCAGCTTGGAAGGGTTGTTCATTCTTCTCTCCTA